GATTTAGTTGTCGCCCACCAGGTTGCTCCCATAACACGTGGGAATTATGGTAGCTATGGGAAGAGATTTGGGTGGTGACACAGAGCCAAACCATATCAGCAGCACCAACAGACTTGCTCAACTCAGGGTTGTCACGAACCTTCCATTTGTAAAACAACATAGTATCTGCAAAGCACAACAAAGTAGCATATTCCTGTGGTTGGAATCATACAGTATGCAGCCTTTTCCTATAGCTTCACTCACTTAGTAGTATGCATTTAAGGTTCTTCCATGTCTTTTTGTGGTTTTATAGCTCATTTCTTTTTATTATTGAATAATATTCCATTGTCTGGATGTATCACAGTGTGTTTATCCATTAACCTGTTGAAAGATATCTGGGATGGGTAACTTGGTTAACTTGATTTGTTTATCCATTAACCTACTGAAAGACATCTGGGATGGGTAAAGATGCTTGCTATAAACATTCTTGTGCAAGTTTTTGTGTGGACTGTTTTCCACTCATTTGGAGTTCAACTTATTTCATACTTTGGAATGTCATTGCTGGGTCATATAGTAAGTCTATGTTTAGCTTTGTAAGAAACTACCAAACTATCTTTCAAAGTGGCTATATGACTTTGCATTCCACCAGCAATGAGTGAGAGTTCACATTGCTCCACATCCTCACCATCATTTGCTGTCATCAGTGTTTTGGATTTTTGACATTCTAGTAAGCTTTTAGTGGCAGCTCAATGTTTTATTTGCTGTCATTATCTAATGACATACAATATTGAGTGTCACTTCATATGCTTACTTGCAATATGTATATCTTATTTGGTTAGGTATATGGTTAGAGGTCTTGCCCATTTTTAATTGTGTTATATGTTTTCTTATTTTATTTGTTTATTTATTTTGAGACAGAATCTCACTCTGTTGCCCAGGCTGGAGTGCAGTGGCACAATTTCGGCTCACAGCAACCTCTGCCTCCTGGGTTCAAGTGATTCTCCTGCCTTATACTCCCAAGTAACTGAGACTACAAACATGTGCCATCATGCCTGGCTAATTTTTTGTATTTTCAGTTGAGATCAGTTTCACCATGTTAGCCAGTATGGTCTCAATCTCCTGACCTTGTGATACACCCGCCTCAGCCTCCCAAACTGCTGGGATTACAGGCATGAACCACCATGCCCAGCATATGTTTTCTTTTTATTTTTAAGAGTTCTTTGTAGTTTATTTTCAATACAAGTCCCTTATCAGATACCTGTTTTGCAAATATTTTTCCCAGTGTGTGGCTCATCTTTTCATTCTCTTAACAGTAGCTTTCTCAAAGCAGAAATTTTTAATTTTAATGAAATAAAAATTATTTTTTTTCGTGGATCATATTTTTGATGTTGTATCTAAAAAGTCATCACCAAACTCAAGGTTACTTAGATTTTCTTCTATGCTATCTTCTAGAAGGCTTATAGTTTTTTGTTTTATGTTTAGTGCTGAGGTCCAGTATACGTAAGGAGGAGCAAGTCACATCTTACACAGGTGGCAGCAGGCAAAGAGAGAGCTTCTGTAGGCAAACTCTCATTTTTAAAACCATCAGATCTCCTGAGACTTATTCACTATGATGAAAACAGGACCTTTTATGAAAAGTACAAGGTTTGTGTCTAGATTAACTTTTTAACACATAAATGTCTAGTTGTTTCAGTACTATTTGTTGGAAAGATTGTCCTTTCTTCTTTGAATTGTCTTTGCTCCTTTGTCAAAGATGAATTGACTATACTTGTGTGGGTCTATTTCTAAGTTTTCTACTCTGTTTCAATGATCTATCTGTGTTCTTTCAACAATACCAGATTGTCTTCATTACTTTATACTAAATCCTAAAGTTGGGGACTGTCAGTCCTCTGATTTTATTTTTCTTCTTCAATATTATGTCGGCTCACATGGATCTTTTCTTTTCCAAATAAACTCACGAATTAGTTTGTCAATATCCACAAAATAACTTTCTGGGATTTTGACTGGGATTGTGTTGAATATACATATCAACTTATAAAGAAGTAACATCTTAATATTGAATCCAATTATACATAAACAGGGACAATCACTCCATTTATTTAGATCTTCTTGGATTTTTTTTCATCAGAGTTTTATTGTTTTCTAATATTGATCTTATACATATTTTATTAGATTTACACCTAAGTAGTTACATTTTTGGTACTAATATAAACAGTATTGCATTATTAATTTAAAACCCCAATTGTTCATTGCTGGCATATGAGAAAGCAACTGACTTTTACATATTAATCTTGTGTTAACACTAATCACTCATGAGTTTCAGGAGGTTACATTGTTATTGATAATATGGGATTTTCTACATAGACAACTATGGCATTTGCAAATGAAGTTTTATTTCTTCCTTCCGAATAAGAATGCCTTGTTTCCTTTTTTGTCTTCTTGCCTTAGCTAGGACTTCCAGTATAATATGAAATAGGAGTGGTGAGAGGGAACATCCTTGCCTTGTTCCTGATCTTAGCAAAAAAGTATCCAATTTATCACCAATAGATTTTCATAAAACCTCTATGCAACTATTAGGTGAACAAACAGAATATTTCCAACATACCAGAAAATTCTGGAACCACCATCTCAATTTACTACCCACAATTTAACAATTATTCCAATTTTGTTATTCCATCACTTGTTGCATCCCTAAACACTATAAGTCTATATTGGAACTGTGTTTCTATATAATCATATAATCATATATATAATGATTATTCTATATGATCATATGTGTTTATACAAACTATATAAGTCTATATATGGAACACTATAAATCTATATTGGAACTGTGTTTCTATATAATCATACATGATTATTCTATATGATCATATGTGTTTATACAAATTATATAAGTCTATATATAGAACACTATAAATCTATATTAGAACTGTGTTTCTATATAATCATATATATAATGATTATTCTATATGATCATATGTGTTTATATAAACTATATAAGTCTATGTATAGAATACTATAAGTCTATATTGGAACTGTGTCTTTATATAATCATATATATGATTATTCTATATGATCATATGTGCTTATATAATCATAAGTGTTTCTATATATAGATTTATAAGAGATATATATTTCTTAATATCTCTTCACCAGAAAATACAATTTATATATATATATATATAATGCTGTATAATTTTGGGGGACATTGGTTTTCCACTCAGCTTTATATTTCTGTAGTTCAGCCACTATATTCTGGATATAGTTTGTTCATTTTTATTTTTGTAGAGCAGAGGGTAACCAAGATTTTTCTGTGAATGGCATTATTTTCCAATTCTTCATCAGCCTCAAACCAATAAATGGGAGCTCACTACTGACCCACCAAGTTTAAATAGGCTTTTAAAGTTAAATCACTCTTTTCAATAACAAAAATTAATGTCTTAAATGGAAAAAAGTTGTTTCATGTCAGTGAAAAGAATTATGTTTGTAGTCTTCCTTCAAGGTGTTTCTATCTAATTCAATGATTTAAAAAATGTTTTGGGCCGGGCGTAGTGACTCACACCTGTAATCCCACCACTTTGAGAGGCTGAGGCAGGCAGATCACAGGATCTGGCCATCCTGGCCAACCTGGTGAAACCTCATATCTCCTAAAAATACAATAATGAGCCGGAAGTGGTAGTGCATGCCTGCAGTCCCAGCTACTCGGGAGGCTGAAGTAGAAGAATCGCTTGGATCTGGGAGGCGGAGGTTGTAGTGAACTGGATCGCACCACTGCATTCCAGTCTGGCAATAGAGTGAGACTTCGTTTAAAAAAAAAAAGTTTTGAACTGAACATCTAAGTCCAAAACCAAAAAGTCTTATTTTTCTATGAATAATTACCGCTAAATTCAATTTGAGCTAATTTATAATTAAAGATTATCAAGAATGACAGTGTTTAGGTGACTCTATCAGAGTGCACCAGATAAAAGATTAAACATGAACCTGGAAATTACATAGATTTTTTTTACTGTGGCCACTTTTACCACTCCATCAGTTAATATGTCAGTAAGAATATCACACTGAAAATCTTGTCAATTTTGGAGATAACTGTATGCAATGTATGAGTTGGTCATAGTCAACTTTATTAAGTTTTCATTTTCTACTGTATGATTGAACTTTTAAAGACCAAACAATACTATATCATTGAGATATTTTACTGAGGAATAATAAAATGATCAATTATCAAGCAAAAGTCAAATTTCTGACAGTTAAGCCAGTATATCACAGACCAGTATATCACATTATCATAAGGATGATGCCCTAGGTAACTTTTCAGATAGAAGTCGCAAACAACAAGGGATTTCTTCCTAAGTAATTGTCCTACGCCAAGTATTAACTTCAATCCTCCTCCTATCTACCAACTTCTGAACAGCAACAAAATCCTGTGTTTCTATATAATCATTTCTACATATCTTTTGAGTTTTTCCTATCAGAGAGGAAGTTAGTCTTTCCAGTACACTGAGCCGACAAAATTGATATATTCGTGTAGCAGATTATCGATACAAATTCAGTCCAATTCAGTTTCGTCATGCAAAGTGAATAAAAAAATTAATGTCTCTTTTACCAGGTGGTAGATGCAGATAGGCATATTGATAACTTTATTCTCAGATATGAAGAAATATAAAAGGAAAAGAACCAAAGTTTGTGCAAAAAGAGGTTATGACAGCACAACTGCAGATACTAAATCAAAGGAAATAACCTTGTTTCCATCAGAATACTCAAAATTCTTAATATCTCTTCACGAGAAAATACAATTAATATTAATCCATTTTATATTAAATATTATCATTGTAAGGTATCACTTTATGTTATGTTAGTAAGTATTGACACAAAGCAAAATTTAGAAGTTACAACCAAAACACCTGCATATTTTGTAGAGGAAAAAATCCAAACAATATTGTCAGCACTTTATTTCTACTGAAACCTGAATAACAGTAAAAACTGAAGGAGGAAAAATATGTAGAGTACAGATGACTTACATTTGGAGAGTTAGACTTTAATTCTCTCTCACAGGATTGAGGAAGCTTATTCTTTGTGCTTACAATGCTCCTTTCTCCAGAGTATTCTTCTACTTCCAGGATAGGTCAGGACAAAGCTTCAACAGACTTCTGTTATTTGTTTGATCTAGAGGAAAATTATACTTTTAATCAATGATCACAAAATGCATCCATTTCTTTTTTTTTTTCTGACTGTACTGGGTTCGGAGTAGGGGGCGTTGAAGCTTCCTATCATTTTCTGTTGGATATGTGAACAGAAAAATAAGTATTGCCTTGTTAAACATCATAATAAATAAATCTAGTATTTAATACCACTAAAAGAAACCCACATCTACCTGCTTTTTCATTTTTATGGCTAAGCAGCACAGCAAGAGAAAATTAATATTCAAAATCCAAATGACTACAAAAGCATACTCAAATGTATTTTTTAAAGACTTTAACATAATTTTGCAAATCCATGAGTTTGAATGGACTGGCAAAGACGATTAGGTATCAGATATTTTTACTCATTCATTTTAATGTATTAGGGCTGAAGAATTACAGGATGATTAGAAAAGTGTAAAGGAAAATACATTAAAAATTTTTAATGTAATAATAAAAAATGATGATTTTTAAGAGCAAGAAACAGACTCAAACCAGTACAGGGTCTATAAGACTGCAAGAAATCTGGAATGAGATTTTTTTAAATGGTGCAAAGGCTGGAAAACTGCTACTGAAGCAAGGCATATTGGATGTATTAGAGTATGTAACATGGGTATGTTCTAAATCTTGTTTCATCTTCACTCTCTAACAAATTTATAAGATGTAAAAATGCAACACATCCTACCTTTCTTTACAAGAACACAGAAATGTGATATATTAATATCTGACATTTGGTGATATGAACATTCATAAGTTTAAGACAACTCATATATTCAAATGTTATCAAAATGTAAGTTTCCAATAACGGGTATTTTCTGCCTCATTAAAGTTAAGAATTAAAATAAATATCTTCGGCTTGGCATGGTGTCTCACGCCTGTAATCCCAGCTCTTTGGGAGGCCAAGGCAGGCAGATCCCTTGAGCTCAGGAGTTCAAGACCAGCCTGGCCAACACGGTGAAACTCCGTCTCTACAAAAAATACAAAAATTAGTAGTGCATGGTGACATGTGCCTGTAATGCCAGCTGCTCGGGAAGCTGAGGCACGAGAATTGCATAAACCCAGGAGGTGGAGGCTGCAGCAGTGAGCCAAGACTGAGATTATGCCACTGCCCTCCAGCCTGGGCAACAGTGAGAGCCTATCTCAAAAACAAACAAACAAACAAACAAAAAAAAGAACAAAGATAAATGTCTTTAACATATGCCATTACCTGGATCACACTCCCTTGCCTTATTTTTAAAATCACTCATATTCCCTTCCATGAAATAATAAACTGAAATGCATGGGAAACATTTAAAGCAAAATCATATATATATACATAAATACACATACACACACATGCACACACACATGCACACACATTGGGAGAAATGTGCATGATAGCACTTTGAAGTTAGTTTTTACTCATAAACTTAAAACAATATACTGGTGGTATTTATTTTTTAAAAACTTGTGAGAAAATAGTAAACAAATGAAGCATACATCTATATCAAAATAGCTAAAATACAAAAAGCAAAATATATGTGGGCAAAAGGGGACCTCTTTAAACCATCATCTGATCACAAATTAATACTTGTGTGATTTTCTTTTGTTTTTAACCAATGTAAATGGTATTTGAAATTATTTACCTGGCATATCTAAAAATTATTTCAAGGTAAAATAAAAACATAAATTTCATTACCAAAGATTAAAGCTATCGAGGGAGAAAATCCACTGAAGACTAGATTTTAGGATTAGAGTACATGTTTTGTTTTCCAAAGATTCAATCAATCTTGGACAAATTTGAAAGTCTTACTACTGAAACTTATCAATGGGCACACTTTCTAGAGGATATATCCATGTAGCATTTCAAGCACAGGTAGTTCTGCTTTAGTTTCCAGAACACAGAAATAGTTTTGCAGTATTTTGGGTCAGTGCAGATCAATGCACATTCCTTTAGGGGAGCTTTTGAACTGACAAATGATATATGATTGACATCAATAGCAAATAGTTTTTGTTGTCCTGGACTGACATGTCATTTATAGCAATACATATGCTAATTAATGTCATCCATATTTACCAGATGTGTCAGAGGAATAGGCCAGACTCTTCTTCACAGGATATAGCTTTAATGTGGCTAAAATTACATTATAGTTATGGAAATGCATCCCTTTAAGATAAAGAAGTGAAATACACACACATACACACACACACACACAGAGAGAGAGAGAGATAGAGAGAGAAAGAGAGAGAGAAAATGACTTTTTATGATAGAGAAAACCACACTTATATGTACAACTAGCTGTACTTTTTCTTTTCTCTTGATAAAACATCTTTTAAAGCAAACTCTTTCTTACAGAATTCAAATATACTATAATCTTAACCCTAAAAATTATAGTACAAAATGTACTAAAATACTAGTTGGGGTATTCACAAACCACACTATCAACACAGTGCTTTACCATAATACATTAAAATTTTATTTGCAGATTCTCTCAGGTATGCTGGTAGATCATCAACAACTAGAACTATGTATTAATCATCTTCATTTCCCATCCTCTAGGACAGAGCTTGGTATACAGTGGGCACCTTTTCTAAAAAAATTTTTTAATCACCAAAATTATGTAGAGTATCTATATTACTGAATTCACCATATACAAAGAAAGAATTAGGAATGTTGCCAACTAAAACTAGTCTTGAGGTAAACTAATAAAGAACTCTTCTTAGTGTCTGGTAGTATTGGGGCTCAGAAAACAATATCCCAAAATGTAGTCCTCAGAAAGCAAAAGTTTGTCTCTGATCTTCTGACCTCCTGTCTCTCAGTCCCATTTCCCCCCAGGCTAGCCAGGGAAACTAGAATTCCTCTTCCTCAAGAGATGTCCTAGACATCAGAGACCCCTTTCCCCAAAGCTAGTCAAAACTTAAAAATATTACTGTAATTTTTCCCTCACATTTCTGTGTAATAACTGGTCATAAAGAAATTATTTCATCTATCCTATTTGACCGTAGGTCTTCAGACCCCTAGAGAGTCCTGCCCCATACCAGGAAGGAATGCATGCTCAGAGACCAAGAAGAATCTAGAGAGACAGGCCTTGCTGGGGTTGTCCACTCAGTCTATTAGCATTAAATCATACCCCTTTTCTCCAATATTTCTACACAGCTGTCCATACTTTATTGAACCTTAGCATAAAAATAGAATATTTCCCCTGTATCTTTGGATCTTCATGCTGAGGGTTCCTATGTATACATGTTAAATAAATTTGTATGCCTTGTTCCAAATTAATCTGTCTTTTGCAAGCTGATTTTTTGGTGAACCTTCAGAAGGTTCCCTTGGGGCAAGTTATCCTTGTATTGTCTCCTACAACAGCTAGCACTGAATAATGTGAACTATAATTCCAGTAACTATTAGTCTTGGATTACCTGGGATAGATGTGGTTCATACCTATTGCAGTTATTAATAACTATCCCTTTCCCTCTCAAAAACGTCCCAATTTGAATAATAATTTTACATATTTATCGAAAGTATCATTACTATGTTATTCATTTATCATTTGATTATTTCTTTTAATAAACAAATGATTTTACTTTTTTGTTGCTTTCCATGATGCTGTTACATGAAAAAAAAAAATCTTTGGTTGGTTGTAGAATGAACAAGATTCTATTCTTTCAACATTAATAAATTCATATATATAGATGGTCTCAGAGTTTAGTAAATCTTTTCATCCTTGAAACTAAACATTTTATCATCAGGAAAGGAATAACCTAGTTGAAAAATCCAGTGTGACTTCTTAATTCTTAGTTTGCTTAACTTCTTTGCTTCATTTAGCTTATTGTTTACTCTTTCCTTCTAAAAACTCTTCCTTTGATTTGCATGATAACACTGTGAATTCCTCTCCTACCTTTCAACCTTGCTTTTTCAGTCTTGTTGGTTCCTATTCTTACATGTGCCTCTTCAATGTCCATTTTCTCAAGATACCATTCCAGTTCTCTTCTTAATTTGCATTCTATTTCTTGAATTAACAACTATTTGTTGCAAATAATTCTCAAAGGTATACATTCAGTCCACAACCCTCCCCTAACCTTCAGATTCAAAGTACCTACTAGTTATACAATCTCCTATCTGGTCCCTTATCCTTCAATCTTAACTCTTTTGAATCCATACAATACACCCAACCTAAGTTTTTGTTGTTGTTGTTTGTTTTGTTGTCGTTTTTCCTGAATGTAAATCTGATAGTATTGTTCCCAGATCAAGGAAGCAACCAACAGTTATGAAAGAAGTAAACTTTTGTAGAAAATCCTAAGGCAACATAAAACAGAAGGTGAATCCAAAACCACAAGAATGGGTAATCAGTTATTGATCTCTCATTTGTAATCCCACAGTATTTAACCTACTAAAATGGTTGCATGTAGTCATTAGGTTTTAAGGCAAGGATCACTAGAAAGAAAAATATAATAAGCATCACATATATCATGAGTGTTATAAAATACCAAAACACAAAAATATTAATTAGGCAAGATTTAGGATAAAGGAAAGTTTCACGGTACCATGGTAAAGTCTCTGAAGAGGTGTTTTTTTTTTAAGCCCCATAAAATTACTGCCATTACTGCTTTGTAAGAATGTAGTTTTAGTCTCGCTAAACCATAATTTTCAAGACAGACTGGTAAATCATCATGTGTGTGCATGAGAGACAGGGTGAGACAGAGTCCAATTTTTAAGATTTAACAACTAATTCCATATTTTTTAAAATAAATACCAACAAATCATACTTGCAAGCTCTGCAAAGGACATGACCACTCCTTTCTTTTTTTTTTAATTGCATTTTAGGTTTTGGGGTACATGTGAAGAACATGCAAGATAGTTGCATAGGTACACACTTGGCAGTGTGATTTGCTGCCTTCCTCCCCTTCACCTATATCTGGCATTTCTACCCATACTATCTCTCCCCAACTCCCCACTCCTCGCTGTCCCTCCCTATTCCCCCCAACATACCCCAGTGTGTAGTGCTCCCC